GTCCCTGTGGACCTCGGAGTCAAGTTCCTTGACTTTGATAGCGTGGATCGCTGTCTAGCCTTAGACTTGGATGCAAGGTATGACCGCATCCTAGGAATGGCATGGTTGGAACACCACGAGTCATGGATTGATCGGAGCTAAAATCTTGGGCGCTACGCGCACGTCTCCTGGTGGAGCTTTGGCGGGTCATGAACTCACCTCTGTTAGGAGACAAAAGTGCTACTGGCGAAAGCACTGGACCGAGATGGTCAACGTGCTAGACATTAGAATGTCCGAGTTGGTAAACACCAGCGGTGTATCGGACAGGAGTCCTGAGCGTGGCTCGCGGGCGGATCGTGGAGTGGCACGTAACCTACTAAGCGCTGCTCAAGTTTCGGAGCAGTCGCTGCATGTTATGCGTGACATGGACGGAGAGAGTCCGAGGCATCGAGAACAGGCCCTTCAGATGCACGTGAAGTGGCACGTAAACCACTGAGCACTGCTCTCGTTGCGAAGCAGTCGCTACATGCCACTGATTGCGTGGTCGGACACAGTCCGAGGCATCTAAGGCACAGCCCTTCAGATGCGCGTGAAGTGGCACGTTATCAACTGGACGATGACTGCGGGGTCAGCAGTTCTTCGTCGGATGTTGTGGATAACATCGGAGCTATAAAGAAGCGAACAGTGAGCGTGACACCGGACGACGCGGAGTGCGTGTTCTCCCTGGTCTCACCGAGACATAAAACCCCTGTACAGAGGCAACGGCGACTCCGGCTGCAAGACGCCGTGCGTCGACCCTCTTCCAGGGTGTGTCTACCGTGGATGACGGTGCACAGTTATACGCCCTCGCCAACTGTATGATGGCGGAGGAAGATGGCGACGTCCGTTTCGAGGCTATTCCTGCAGTATATGCTCTTCTTGGGCTGGACAAGATGTCTCTTGAATACTTCGGCATTGCCTTGAAGGCAGGCGATTTGGCCGAAGGGGTCATTGATGGACCGGACGAGGAGATAAACTCGTCATCGCG